AATTAGGTTTATTTTATATTTGCAAAAAAATAATGCATAGGTATGCGTTATTTCGCGATTTTACGGTATCCTCCCCAACAATAACTGATACAAAACAATAACTAATAAATATATTCCAATAAATGTTTTCACTTGGTGACACTCAAATCGTTATGTAGATTTATTTAGTAACGGTAATGCAGAAATGATATCATGTACATGTACAAAGTTTAAGGAGACTGATGTTAAAGAATTTGTGAATTTGAAAGTCAAATGTTTGTTAAACATAATTTAGGTGTATTAACTAAATCTTGTTATTTTGTTTTATAATGACCAAAATAACTATGTTAACGATCCAAGAATAGAAGTTGGCCATAATTACTACAAACTAAATAGGAACTATATAATTACTATTTATGCTATATTTACGATATATCTACATTTTTAGTCCCAAAAATAATGAATAGTAATGAATAGTAATGAATATGTAGTAATGAATAGTAATGAATAGTGGTGGATCGTTAACATTTATCACTGTATTATAATAACCTCAAAAGTGAATTAAAGTGAATTAAAGTGAATTAAAGTCAATTAAAGTGAATTACACATATGATAACTTATGCCTTTTTCGCGTAAGATCTAAAAACCATAAAATAAGACTTATACGTTTCGAATTCTTTATCTAATTCACTTAACACTTTTTCGAAATTCCTTTTAGGATAAACCCATTTTATAAACCCTTTACATGTATCTTTCATAAATGATGCTGCTATCACTCCAACTTTACCCGCCCATGGGCCAAGTGGATAAATTCTCTCTTCTTGTTGCACTAGTGTTAACCCTGGCATTGATAGCATTGATTCTTTATGACGTTTTGCTATAAGAGGGTTTACACCCTGAGAACGAAGTCGGTCACTTACTATTATATGAAAAATTGGTTAATTTAACGTTAATAAGAACGTTAATATAAGATTAATATCATTTAACCATAATACTGTAATAAGATTAATATCAATTAATACAAAAAAATTTATTCAAGTCTCTATTCACCTGAATTACAAAGTTTTGACATAACTGGTCCTGAATTGTACCAATGAAGTTCTGGATCAACTATTTCTAACCAACCGCCAGGTTTTAAAACACGATATATTTCTTTATACAAGGTGTCCCAACCAGATTCTTTAAGATCAAATACCAATATTCGTACATGTACGAAATCAAATGAATTATCTTCAAATGGTAATCCTTTCAAAACATCGTGTTGAACGAATTGAACATTGAATGGTCTTATGCTCGGATAAAGGTTTAAGATATCAACTCCAACGTATTGGGATTTTTGATAGTCAGCAGCCAATTCACAAACCCACGTACCGTTACCTGAACTATAAATAATCTTGAGTTTTGCTATGAAAAAACAAAATGTATATATATATATATATATATATATATATATATATATGTAAAAAAGACTTACCCAACATCCAAAACTCGTGCACCTTTTCTTAAAGTATCGCTAATCGGTGATAAAAAATTCGCTTGCCATATTTCTCTCATAACATAGTGTCCTAAACTTAATCGATCGTTCTCCTAAAAATCATTTATAGTTGTTATTCAAAACGAATTCAAAAAAAAAACAAAAAAATACATATACGAAAAAAAAATAATCATACGAGATCTTTGTTCTTGGAGTGAATCGCTTCGAAATTAATTTTGCTTCGATTAGAATGTTTATTACCCATCTTTTTATTATTTGCAAATAAATGTGAAATTTTTGAAAAAATTCCCGTATGTTAAACGGCGTCGATATTTATTGTCGATATTTATTGTCGATATTTTATTGTCGATATTTATTGTCGATATTTATGTCGATACTTATGTTTATCATTAAATAAATCTTTTAACTCCTTAATACACATTGATTTAAATCGTGTCGTAATAATTATGTCGTAACCATATTTAGGAAGGACAAAGGTAATTGGTCCTCTAACATTTAAGGTTTAAAACTCCTCGGCCATTAATAAATTTGAAATTAGACCATATTATTATCAATGAACGAATTTCTTTTAGGTAATATGAGACGCACCTTGGAAATCTTATCTATAATGATTTTTCCGATAACACTCACATGAATTATATGAATTATTAGTGGGTACATTAATATGTAAAATTAAACAATTTTACATTACATGATTAATTCCATTGGTATACAAGAAATTCAAAAAAAAGAATATTCTTATTTTTCCAACAGGAGTACTGCAACTTGTTCATCCAATTTGAATGATCTTTTTTTTTTTTTTTTTTTTTTGTGGAGTCTTACTGGAAAAAAATAATTTATTCAATCTTTGATCGAGCAAATTTAAACTTTATATAAATTCCACTCTTTTCTTGGTAAAAATCTTATATTTCTTGCTTTAAAATAAAATAAAGTGAAGTTATCGTTACGCGAAATTGAAATTTTTAATGTTGACAAACAAGGTCTTATCTTAGAGAACTTTGAATATTATAAATACTTCAATATTAACTTTGTTAATTTACATATTAACTCTGTTAATTTACCGTTAATTGCAATTAATAATATATAATTAATTGCCACAATGTATTAATTGGTTCGTTATATTCAATTTATAACAGATTCCATTTGTGAGTCAGAGTTTATCGTTCAATCCTAGTTAACCTAGTTAAGGTTTGGTTCCGAAAATACATGCTTTTAATTTTACCGAAACCGAAAATGTTACCGAAGTAAAAAATATTATTAAAAGTCATTCAAAGTAAATATTAAATAATATTTTCAGTTTAGAATACAATTTTAGAGGAAATCCATTTCTATAGAAAGTAAAATTAAAAATATTTAATTTGGCTTAAATTGTTTTTCAAAAAAATGATTGAAAAATTAAACTCATATCGAAAGTCAAAAGGGTTGCAAAAAAATTGGGAGTACTGAAATACTTTGTGATATTTCATCCGACATCTATTACATACGATCCGCAAAATCATAGTTTAAAATGTCATAGTAAATTTTTAATAATATATTATTAATATATTATTAATATATTATTAAATGTGCAACTTTAGTTGATGGTCATAATAAATATAGATTTCTCTTTTGACTATCTTTCTGATTATTTTATATTTATATTTATTTATTTATTTATTGGTTATATAGTTTTCAATCAAGTTTCAACTTTCAGACATTTATCAAAAGGATTTTCAGTTTCGACTGTTGGATCATAGATTTTTAACTTACGATTTTACTAAAGATATTTCTATATTACTAAAAATACTTTCGGAGTCAAAAATCTCAGTGTTTAACATATTAATATCGATCATTATTCTGTTATTTGAGTTTGTCATAAGTATTTTTTACGCTTTATAGACTATACTGTGTTACGAAAAAAATGACGGTTAATAAATGTTTCTAACCAATTAACAATTCGAATTGGGTTAAAAATTTTTATATATTATTCAATAAATATCTCTTTATAACATATAAAAATTTGATCCAATTTGAACTACTGGTTAACAAAAAAATTAATATATAAAATTTTTAATTTTATCTGGTTGATTGTTTATCTCATATATTAATTTTCTTAACAACTAGCAATCCAAATTATATCAAATTTATATATATATTGTAGAACGATACTTATTCTATAATATATAAAAGTTTTATTTAATTTGAGTCACTGGTTATTGAGAAACTTGATATATAAGATAGTTGATAGGTTTAAGAATTACGGTGATGTATTTAAAAAAAGTAATCAACAAGGTTCTTAATAATTAACAGTCCGTTTTGGACCAGATTTTTTATGTATTATAAAATAAATATCTTTCTTTAATATGCAAAAATTTGATTCACTAGTTGTCAAGAAAAAAATTTAAAACTTAAACATTTCATATCATTCTTTTTATCAATTATCTTCGTAACCAATAATTCAAATTATATATATTGTAAAGAGACATCTGTTATATAATATATAAAAATTTGGTTCAATTTGGATTACTAATTGTTGAGAACTTAACATTTACGGTTTAGAATTTATTAAATTTATAAAAAAAAAAAAAAAAAAATATGAACCCAATTTTAAACAATCGTTATAGAAATAAATAATAAAACTTTAATACAGTCAGACCTTTCTAAATGCATGCCTATAGAGGTCAAGTATATATTTGGGCTGGAATCTGTGCATGCATTTAGAGAGGGTGCGCACTTATAGAGGTGCACTCATTACAACTTATTAAAATATGCAATTTTTTATCACCGCCATTTTTTCAAAAAAATTATTATTAACAAGTTATGGATCTTGATGGAGATCTTAAATAATAAACTTTATTTCCATTCAAATTTTCTTTCCCTTCACCAACAAATATTCAAATGTATGTTCTGCTTCATCTTTTTCGATCTGTTTTGAAAAAGTGAATGCTACCTTTGAGCTGACGTCCTTAAGCATACCAGTTTCCAAGAATATGTTTTCTAAATCTTTTTGATCAAATCCTCCCTTATGATGTATAGAATTATTAGCTTCCCCATGAAACTTGTGTGAAATTTCTGGTTGTTTTTTCAAATCTAAAACAATTAATTCTCCATCTTGTTTAAGGTAACTGGCTAGCACTCTTGTCATTGATTTAACATCCCCAATATGATGATACGCTGATGCACACTTTTTAAAATATTTCAATAAATAAATGGTTTTAGCAAATCATTATACAAATCATTTTGTTAGAAAGAATATTATATGTATTTACCACAACAAGATCGAATTTTCGTCCATTCAGTTGGTCTCCCTCGGACTCTTTTAATTCTAAACAAATTGCTTGCATTTCTTCTTTGTCAATTCCTTGTTGCCAAACCTTTTTATTGTATTCATCTACCATCTTTGAAGATAAATCTACTCCAAGAATTGATTTTACATGTGCGCATAAATCTTGAGATATTATTCCTATTATCATTATTATTATATTATATTGTAATGATATATATATAAAGGTTATAAAATTTAAATATCTATATCTAATATATTTCGTATCGTAAATAATAAACTATACCAGTTCCACAAGCAAAATCCATAACTTCATAACCTTCAAGGTTTTCAACCTCTTTCAAAATTGCTTCTGCACATTTCTTTCCAACAAGATAACGAAAAGGATGTGCATCATATTCCGATGACATGTTATCAAAATATTCTTTATTACGATCCAAAAGACTTGGCAAATCGTTTGCTTCCATTTTGAATGATAGTATGTAGAGTGAGTATTGCTAACAAAATTACCATTACTAGCGTATTTATTACCGTATTTTTTTGTGGAATAAAATCTATTTTAGGCAAATATTAGTAATCCTCTACAGCAGTGTGTGTGTGTGTCTGCAAACTGCGGATTTTATCGGATTGATCCGTATTGATTTCTTAATTCAGTAATTACAGGATTTCAAATGGTTTCTTACATAACAATCCCACTTTAGATCATAAATTAAGTAAATATAAATCATTTAACTCCGAAGGAATTTGAGTGAATTAATTAATCTCTATATTAAAAAATTGATTCAATTCAATAGTTTATTGAATCAATGTAAAAGATGATTAACATATGAACATGAACCGGTACTCGGGTTTATTTTTGTCCGAATTAACCCGATCGGAAATTTCGGAAGGTGATTTTCAAGGCAAAGACCCCACATGATGAATAATAAATTTTCATCGTTTGTTCCATAAAGGATCCGTATCATTTCACCAACGATCACTTTACTGTCAACTTAGTTCACCAACAATTAATTCACCAGAATTACTTTGTCAGTGAAATGAGCTTGTCTGTAACTAGTGTCCCGCATGAATCGGACCGGCCGGATATTTTTAAAGATCCAGATCTGGTCCGAAGAAAGAATCGGATCCAAAACTTGGATCCGGACCGGTACTTCTAAACATTTTGACCAATCAGAAAAACCAGCTTATAACGTTGAACCTGACCGGGCGGATCTCGATACGGGTCCGAACCCGGTCCGCTCACGGATCTTGGCGGGCGGACCGGATCTTTTGCGAAACACTAGTCTGTAACGTATGGACGAATTTTTTTTGATTTTGTAATCATTAAAAATTAATATTTCATAAAATTTAATCCAATCATTTATGTGATATTGCATGATCTCCGGTAAAATACATAGAATTGATTTCCGGTAAAATTGAATTGTATGATTGTATTTGATTGGTCAATTGTCAAATTGCTATAATCCGCTTATGAATCGCTTATGTTTATGAAACCGCATAATAATTATGAAACCGCATAATAATTATAAATCATCATTGTATTTAATTGGTCAATTTTTTTTCTTAGCTGTAAATTACTTATGAAACTGATCATGAAGCCGTACGTATAATATTTATAAATTATTTATTAAACCATTACTGTACGTATATCACTTATCACAACATCCCCATCAAAAATTTTCGCCCATACGAATTGTCGAACTAAGTTGTCGAACTAAGTTGTCGATGAAGTGATTGTCAATGAAATGAACACCCATTTAATCAACCCAAATCATTAATTCATACGATTTCTTTTTTCCCAAAGAATTACAAACCGTCATTACCTAAAATTGTCAAATACATATATACGTATTCTTGTTTGATTTCTATTTTTTTTTTTTTTTTTAACCAGTCCATTTACTGCTCTAACGGCACTATCTAATATAACGATGAATTTATGAAATTAAACTAAAATTTGGTTATCAAATCCAAGTATATATCTAAAAAAATTTTTAGACCTCTAATCTAGACTGATCACGCGTCTAACCCATCCTTTCCACTCCTGATGCATTTCATTAGATATATAAATTTGTTATTATAACAACGCATCTTAGCCAAAAAATTAGTATTTATACATTAGCAGGTAAGTTTTTCAGATTTTGGGATATTTCATCGCAATGTACGTACCATTCACATTTATTATTATTATTAATTTGAATAAATTCTTAATTTGGTTGTTTTTTTTATGTTTGGCTTTTTAGTTTTCAATTTCAAAAAAGCTAGTGATTTAGTTTTATTTAATATCAACAATTCGTATAATTATCTAGGTTTAGATCTTACAAAAGTGATTTAAAAGTTTCATTTTCATTAAAATACAAATATATTAATATATATATATATATATATATATATATATATATATATTTATTGATATTGAAATAATACCGTAATCTTAATAATATTTTTAATAGTACTCCGGGTTATACTCTGGGTTATACTCTGAAGTATATTGTAAGAATATACTCCAGTATGGTGTGGTGCTAAGGGATACTCTGCCAAAGTATACACCACACCACCCTGGAGAACTCCGTTAACATTTCTAGTCTCAGAATTTATTGTAATGCAGATCTAATATACACGTAATAACGTTCAGGGATATAATTTCGAATTTTGGCCTAAATTAAGCCCAAACTTTGAAGTAATGCTCATGGGCATTATTACGTGAAGATACGATAGCCTCGGTGGTCTCTTTATAAAGATAAAGGTCTCTGCAATGTTCGCATAACATGTTTGTAGCGTTTATTCCATACCATATAACCCGTCGTATGATGACGGGCTCTAATATTAATAATCAGAAAAAAAAGAAGTCTAACTTTTTTTACGTAAATATAAAATGCTCGATCTGTTGTACATCAAAAACCAATTACAGTCGTCCTCCTATATAGTCACCTACTATATAATCAGATCAATATAATCAGATCATAATAAAGCCCTTTTTATAATCACACCAAAGTTCGCAACACTTTACTAAAAAAATACTTCGTTATAAACACATCGTAGTAAAAACCTTTATATAATCACACAATTTGCGTTATACGGACTGCGTGATTATAGAGAAGGACGACTGTAATTTGTTTGAAGCAAACACTAATAATAAAAAAACTAATTTATTTGAGGCTAATAAAAAATCCTGTGTTAAACGCTAAATTGGTAAATGAAAACACGGAACAGCAGGGTGTAGTCCAAAATTTCCGAGATTAGTATTGTTTAGTATCTATTCAGACTAGTATTGGGTTAGTATCTATTCAGACTAGTATTGGGTTAGTATCTATTCAGCAGGCCTACCGAAAAATTAATTGCAACTCAATTATTACGCAATTATAATTGATTGTAATTGTTATTGTACGCAATTA